TTAACTTAGGATGACTTGCATATATTACTTTAAATAGCTTTAACATTGTGCTCATTGCTTTACACAATTTTATCATCCTGCACTTAGTTTCTAAAAATGTTATTCATATTTTAGTCAAATATTGTATTTTTGAAATCACAAGAATCAAATATCATAAGATTAAAAAGTTTTAAATTAAAAAGAATATTAAATTTTTACAAATTAAAATACTAAAAACTGCTAATACTAAAATAAAATGCAAAAGTTTATTTTTTTCTTCTTAATAGCTTGCTCTTTTTCTTCAGGCATTCTGCAAGTATAGTAAAAAGCATCCAACTTTTCGAAACATCTTGGTATTTCTGACATTCATTTTAAATAAATTCATTCCATAAAGGCCCACAAACGGCCGAGCGGTAAACTCGCTGAACACTGGTAGTTTTACTCCGGGGTTCGAATCCATGCGAACGGGCTCGTTGCATAGGCATTTTTGTGGTTTTTCTCATTATAACTTATATGCCACCTGGTTTACCTTAGAAAGTTCTTCGTGAAGGCATCCTTCCTTTTAGGGCAGATAGCCCTGCTCTGCCGTAACTTAATAATCCAATTCAATCCATTTCATCAATACTTGGTCTGAGCCTTTATCAGTCTTTAGTGGCTAAGCATTTTAAGGCATGAGATGAAAGGAAAGACTGGTTTCATCAAGAGGGAAAACGTCTTTAGGTCACATCCGCATACATCACTGGATAAATTCCTGAATATTCAAATAATTTGACTAAGAAGTCATGGGATTCTCCATTTATGATGATATGATGTTCTATAACATAATGTAAATTTATACAAACATACAAGCAAAAACCAGTCGCTCTTCACTTTAATCTGCAATAATATCGTTTTTGTCTTTTCCGTTAGGACAAGCTCAATTGATGATATTTGCTGGTGCATACGTCCAAGTGTTTCCTCTTTGGACACCCAAATTCCTTGAAGTATTCTGAAAGTATATTCAAAAGCATCCAACTTTTCAAAACACCTTGGTATTTCTGACAGCCAAATTTCCCTTCAAATTTTTGCTTACTTTTCTCCCTAATTTTCTTCTTTCCTTCTACATTTATTTTCAGTGCTCAAAGAAAATTAAGATTTTTCGATAGTTACATTTCCATAAATTTTGCATTCTTGTCATTTTTTTTTAAAAATATCAATGACATCAACTGCGTTTCAGTTGAAGACAGCTTTTCATTTTCTAGGCATTTTATTTATGAATAAAGTTTAAAGCAAAGTCCAAAGGATAAGTATTTTAATTAAAAGATTTTGTTTGCTAAATGACAAAGAAATGAAACAGTCCAGCAATGTTTATTCTGTACCACTGAGTGACCCGATTATTATATCGGCTACAAACAATCTAAATCATATCAAAGATTATGTTTTTTATACAATCTATAACAGGAGAGAAAATTAGCTACTTAAAACATTCTTTCAAAGAGGATTAATGTAAAAATTTATACTTATATATATAATTTTTAAAGTTGGAACATGACCCAAACTATCAACATCCTGTTTGATTAAAAACATTGTGAAAATAGACATGAAACAAACTTTCTCAGTTTTAGAAAATTCAGTTTAAATGCAGTCAAAGTAAAGTAGCAGCAGACGATAAACACGGTGAAGGTAAAAATTTACTCTTACAAATATTTAAAAAAAAAAACAAAAGAGGAAAAAAAAATTTTTTTTAAGTTAAAAATTTGAATAATATCATCAATAATTTAAAAAACAAATAGCTTTTCATATAGTATTAATAAATATTTATTATGCATCATTGAGGGAAATAATTTTATATAATTAATTCTCCCTAAAAATTTATTTGAAATTTAAGGTTAAAAATAGCTGTGGCAATTCACTGTAACAAAAATCCATAAACCACATTTGGTGTTATTATTGCTAAAAAAAGATGCCAAATTTCAAAACACAAAAATATGCAAATTCGTGTATATCTTAGAAAATTTTGAATAAAAAATAATTTTTTGCAGGTATATTTAGAACAACACCTTAGGATGATGGTAAAAATTTTATAGGTTTATAATTCAAAATCTTTTTGTAAAAAATTTATAAAAATTATTTAAAAATAGAAATTTAAAAAATAAAACACAAAAAATAGGTGAATTTTATTTGAAATGAACCTAAATTTCAAAATGTGAAAGGAAAAAAATCAGAAAAGTTTAATAAAAAAAAAAAAGAGAGATTAATAAATATGTGCCAAATTCAATTAACATTGAGGAGCTAAAATTTTGAGAGCTAATTTTTTAAAAACTACTCGTACAGTTTTTACAAAACTTGGCAGTCTGGCATAATTTGAGTCGTAGAATCGAAATATGTGAAAAACTTCGTATGTTATTTCATAAAAGTCCGATTTTGTGTCAAAATACCTATGTTAGAATAGTGCTATATATAAATCTAATATATATCCTAAGTCGTGCTGTCGAGACATGAAAAATGCAATTTGAATTTGGTCAATCGGCCCAATAGAATGGGAGCTATAGAACTGTCCCCCTCCTTTTTTTTTTTTTTTTTTTTTTTTTTGTGCAGTGTACCATTGTAGCTGACCAACCTAAAACCAAAGGTACCAAATGTACCATTGTAACCAATACAAAAACCATTAGCTGTACAACTTATGCTCGAAATATATAAACTCCTGAAATGGCACTCTTGTTGTTGCTAGAAGGTGTTGCTTTGGATAGGAGAGAACATGGAATGTACACTTGTTATCTGTATTAGACAGCCGCCCAGACAGGAAAGTGGTTAGTGACTCTGACTGCTGTACCGAAGAGCTCGGAGATGGCATGAATGTAATTTTTCCATCCCTTTCACAGGAGGTGACGGTGGCCCATCTATCAGGTGCCTGTATAATAAAGAAACCTCCACTTCTGGCCTTAGTAGTTGTCAGTGCCTATAAACGGCTACAGCCAGTCATTGGAACAAAACAAAAAACTATTCTAAACATGATGTGTCCTTGTCCTCTGTCACCAGTCACAGGTTCACAACAAACCTGGAGTTGCATTTCTTGTATTTAAATATAGCATTTTGTTAACTTGGAAGTTTGCAGACTGGACAATTCACAAATGTACTGATAAAAATGATATAATGGATGGAACTTCAAACTCTGTTGATATGGGCATTAATTTAAAACGTAGTTTCTACTACGTGTTACTCCTTTCTAATTTCACAGGTTAAAATCTTGAATGCAAGTTAACCCTTGCTAATCAGTATTCTGTAGTAGCAGTTTTATTTTTTTAAAGAATGCTATGTATTTTAAAAATACAAATTTTGTTTCCAATTGAAATTAGCTGTAATAAATTTCCATACCTTCTTGGTTACACTCTATGTTTTAAACCAGAATACTTTTTTATAATTATTTGAATTTATTTAATGAAATAAAAAATTAACAGTCATATAAATAATATGAAAGACCATAGTTTAGAGCAATGGAATAATTTGTCGTAACAATGGTATTTCTGAAGCATGAACACAAATGTAAAGCAGCTGAAAGCTGGAATAGCATTATTCTTTTTAGCTGTATGGGAATACTATCAGAAGTGCCTTCACTGCATGTTTGTCACATGCAGCAAGCAGATATAAAATGAAAAATCGTCAGCAAGTACTGTTGTTCAGAAATCTGTGATTTATCCTAACGTACCTGCATGACTGTTAATATTACCTACAGCCATTCATTTATTCCAGTTTAAAATAAAAATATCAGTTGTCAACTTAGTATGCTGTCTGCAGAAATAAGACTGTTGTGTTCAGTTTAATATTTCCTGTTAAGATTATTTGTATGACATTTACTTGCACTGCTATTAAATAAAACAAATATATATATATATATATATATTTGTATTTATACATATAAAATAAATATGTAAATAAAAATTATAATTTAAACTAACTGTAATTCTTTAATTTCTCCCTCTCTAGTCTAAAAATTGTAATAACTTCTCTGGATTGCATAATTTCTAGATCAATCCATCTCGCAAGGCTCGCGTAATGCTATGACATAATTAATTCAGAACCTAAACTTTGAGAACTTAAACCAAAACATTTCTCTTAACGGTGTGCCATATTGGATAACTATGCACTTCAGCCAAAGAATGCCTAAGAAAGGAAAAAAAGATGTAAAGAAGGAAAGGTTCCATAGACGTAATGTAATTATGCCTTTGGAATTTGCTATTATGTCGCTGGAAAGCGGAGGGAAAATTCGCCAAGGGATTTGGCGACGGAACTTGATGGCAAAGATTTCCCCCTTCGCTATGTGTATAGGAAATTGAGGAGTATGTGTTAAGAAGAAACAGTCTTTGACAAAACATTTCTTCTCTAACATTTCGCGATAACTTGGATTTTCGTACTTTTTTCTGCTGAAAATAACTAATCCATTAATTTATTTACTTGCACAAAAAAATATTTTCTTTTCTTTCAAAGTTTAAAGAAATTTAAAACGATATTCGTTTTATGAACTCTTGATAAATGTGACCTTCGAACTTCGACACCAGCTTCGAGCTTTGCCAACAGATATTTCGTGCTTGCGCAGTTGGAATGGAGCCGCTCCTGTAAAGGAGAAGTTTACCTTCATAACAATACATATTCTTTGCTTCACCTTTGCTCTCTACCCTGTTAGGATGTAATTTCCCCATGCTCACTTCCTATCACAAAAGTATCAAAAATACAAATGTTCTGTGAATAAGGACGACTAGAGTGCCAAGCGATTGTGGCCACAAATGTCTATTGGAAATAAAAAATGGAATTAAAACTGCCTTCACTGCCAAGCTTTTTAGATATTATGAAGTCAGCATTATTAGCATACTATGCAATCAAAATTCGTCCTCTTGTATATATGGATCTATGATCTTTCCTATTTAGGTATTGCAGATCAACAGTGCTCCATCTTTTTCATGCTCTTATTACATGTATATAGCTATATCTATGTATCTCTTTCTCTGTCTCTCTCTTTATATATATATAATTGTATATATTCTTAGGTCTTGTTGCTACAACATTGGCCCTTAGTTTTGGAGTGTATGCTATGAGAACAGGAAACAAAAGGAGATCTCAGATGATGATGAGGACTAGGATTGTTGCCCAAGGGTTAACTGTAGGTGCAATATTACTTGGAGTTGTATTGGCAGCAAAACCAACTTAAAATTTACTTTTTTGCTTATCATTTTGAAATGTACTATTGTTCAAAAGAAACAGAAAATTTATCTTTGCTGTACAAACAACAGAATCTTTTACTGTAAATATCTTTGAATGTATTGCTGAAATAAACTTCAAATGGATTTTCTTTCCTTTTTTTCTTGGGGAAGTGACACATTCAATGAAATACAGTCAAAAGTCGTTAATCCGGACACGTCGGGACTTCGACGATTCCGGATTATCGATTTTTCCGGATTATAGATCATCAGTTTAAATCTGGTAAAATGGCATGCAGAAATTATAAAATTAAAAATATGAAACCGTAATTTACGAAATAAAGAACAATTATGATCTAAAGGGTATCAAAATCTACAAAAAATAAGCTTAATATTTATTTGTTTACTTTATTAAACATTTCTTTCAATGTAAGTTGTTTAAGTTGCTTCATTTTTAATGTCATAATACATTCTTTAATTCTATAAACAGACATAATTTCTTGTTCAGTTACAAAGTTCCGCTGTTCAAGTCCTATAATTGCTGTGTCGAGAATACCGACTAATTTGTCAATCGAAATTTTTTCGTTTTCAATAACCTCTGTCACTTTCTTTGCTATCGGAAGCGAATTATAATGACAAGGCATTTGATTTAAATCATATCAAAGACGGAGTACATCGAGATGAAATACTACATTGAGTAAGCAATTATAAGCCAAATAAAATAAAAACATCTGCTCTTAAGATAAGGATAGTGCTGACAGATCAACTTCCAATTCATTGCACGCCGCGGCGGCGTTAAAGATAAACAAAGTTTAGATAAACAAATGTTAAAGTTTAGTAAACAAAGGATATGCCTTTATCCATTTTTTGCAGCAATTCCACTTTTTGTTTTAATGGACTCCGAAAGATACTTTCGCTTTGTATATCTATCCTTTACATATTAGTAAATATATATCGGAAATTCTATTTGACATAATCGAAAGTTCAAGCTTACTTTTATAAAATTGCTCTATCAGTCTGCAAAAAATAATAATCCGGATCCAATTCGAAGATTAAGGAACAACGCAATCTGCAACATTAACTGAAATAGATAATTAGATAATTTTAGCTTAGCTTATCCCGTCTGTTATACATTAAGCGCTCATTCGTAAACGTATTTTGCGCACACGCAAATTCGCAGCGGTAAAGGTGTTACGCGCATGCGCAGAAAGTTTGTAGCTTTGAGGTCCGGATTATGGGTGTCCGAATTAACGACTTTTGACTTAATAAATTAACAAATATTTGTTAAATATCATTACTCTATTATGACATTCTAATCTGTATTTTTAATTATGTGCAAAAATTTGTGCAGAATTAATAATAATAATAAGCTTACTACACTAAGGCACATTAAGGTAAAGTATTGGAACACATTGATTCCTGATATAAATTAGTTATATATTCGTTAGACTGCATGGAAAAGGTGTATTGTTGCTTACGTTTAGTACATTAGAAACATTATACTTGAAACTGTAATTAAACAAATATAGTTTTGAATTTATTTAACCAAGAAATGCTATTTTATGAAAAGCTGAATGTTATTTACTGTTGTTGAAAGAAATTTTAAAATTTATGCATCATTTGTAGGTATGTGAATCATCATTTGTAGCTATACTGCAGTGAAGCATGCATGTAAAGCCTACAGAGGCTGTTCACACATTTTTTAGACTCACAAACTCACACAAAACTCAATTACATGAAATTCTTGTGTTTTAAATGTTCTGTTTGACATCCCTTATTCTGAACTATCTTTCGACACCGCAATTTCCAGGATAATAATGCCTTTTGAAGTGGCAGAAGAGGTATTCTATCCCATTCCTCCCGAACAGCTTTCCAAAGTCCTGTTAGGGTTTTGGGACAACGTTTGGATAATGCAGTTTTTAAAAGTCCAGAAGCACAAAAATCCATAGGTAACACATCGGGAGATTTAGTAGGGATATCAGTGAAGGGTATGGTCTTGATACCATTTTTTGTTCCATTTCTTTTAGGAAATTTACAGTGGATTTTGATGTGTGACTGCTAGCTTTGTCCTGATGGAGTCTCACAGACTGATGGCACTGTGGGTAAAGCGATGGTATTTCATTCAGAAAAATTGGCAATAAAATATGTTCCTGATAGTATTTGGAGTTAATCTTGACATTTTTTTTTTTGCACTCTCTTTAACTTGCCATTATAAGAAAAACCAGCAACAATCATGAATCCCTTAGAAAAACTTTCTTTCGATTCTTTGAACCATGTACTTAAATTTTTTCTCCCCTTTTATGATAATAAATGGCTCTTTTTTTGTTACAATCATTTAAATACACCCATGCTTCATCTATTGTGACAATTGTTTTCCATTTTTCTTTGGATAAGTGTTTCTCATATAGAATTCTGCAGCGTGTCCTGCGTTGAGCGATATGCTTTGGAAGAAGACGATGCACATTGCGTTTTTTTCGCTTTCTTAAGATTTAAATCAACGTTTATCATTTTGTTTACAGTGGACACCGAGCATTTTAATGATTTTGCAACTGTCCTTTGACTAGGGGGATTTTCTTTTAACATTAAACAACGTACCTTTGCAATAGTCGAAGATGTCCGTTTTTTCTTTTTTTCCTTGGATACTTGTTTGGAATTTTTGTCCCACTTGAGGCTCCAATTTGACGTTTTTTTCCCTTTCTTGTTGATGATATTACCTATCGACGCTTTAGATATCACAAAACCATGACTCTCACATCGTTTTTGGATAACGGAGTATGCATATTTCTCTTCGGAAAGAGCGTAAATGTAGCCTTCGAACCACTGCTTTGTTAAATTCGCCATTTTGAATAAAAACAAAACTTTCAAGCCACAGACAATAATTTTGACTTTTAAAAACATAGTACAATTGCAATTACTTCTTTTGCAGCAAACAATTTTTGATTACCGCTTTGCCAAAATCATCTAAAAAATGTGCAAATAGCCTCTGTATTGCTTTATAGTCTTATATAGTCTCTTTTGAAAGAAATTTTTAAAGAAAAGTTATTTATTATCATATAATATTTGGGGAAGAAAAAAAGAGTGAAATAACTATTCCCCAGGCAGCATGCCTCCAGACATACGCATGTAATTTTAGGAAAATAAAGGTATGGTATTTTTCCTATGTTATTTTTACAAAAATAATAGGAATTGAATATATTGTTGATGTTCTTATATTTTCCACATGTTACTTTTATGGAAATTATACAAATCCAAATGTACTGAAGTAAACTGTTAGCTTCACAGATTTCTCATTTGTTTCTTTTGCAAATATTATTCAAGTTCTAAAAAGACTGGAAAAAGATATCTGAATTCAGAATAGCTAGTAATTTTCTGGCATTTTACATTTGTTTCTTTTTTCTCCAGAAACATGAAAAAGGAATACAGGGTGTTCGGGATAAATTTGAAATATTTATAATTGATTATATTTTTCCATAGGTTGGAGGTATTGACACACACTATTCGTCATTTAAAAGTTTAGACCCTTCCTCATTCATATACAAGATGTCAGAAAGGATGGATGACTGGAACCCACCTGAATCATGGAAGAGAATAACTTGCATCATGATGATTCGTGCCGGCCATCAAAATAAGGATATTATGACTGCTGCCCAATGCTTCCTGAACACAGTAAAAACAATCAGGCATGAACTAGAGACTTGCAATGGTAACTACGAGGATGTAGCAAGAAGAAAGATCCCTAGCAGACAATCTGATTACGTTTGTACGGCAGAATTCCGCGCAAATCTGCAGGAACAGGTGTTGAAGAACCCTGGCATTAGAATTCGGGCTTTGTCATGTGAAATGAATGTACAGCCCCTACTATGAAGCTTGCACTCAATGAAGACCTTCACTACTACTCATACAAGCGGATTTTCTTTTTCCTTACGAAACGGTCAAATTTATCCCGAACGCCCTGTAGTATGCAAACAAAAATTGTTAATAGTATTTTAATGTCATATGCTAATTATTTTTATGTTTTAAAGTAATTTATATTTTTAAAATGTACCTCCTCCTATAAAAAAATTCTATGATTCTGAAAATTTAATCCTGACATTTCACAAGAATTTAAATTAACCATTAATCTAACAATTACATGATTTCAAAAATTTTCAGTGATTTTTAATATATAGGAGAAATTGTAGTAAAGATTCTAATAATTATTAATGTCAAAGATTACTTTCTATGGAACAAATTGATTAGCTGTACTTCAGATTAAGAAAGTATGTATAATTTGTACTAACCCTAAATATTATTTTAATTAAAGAGAAATAGGAAAAAAAATGTTAATTGAAAGGAATTTTACTACTGCTTAATAAGTAAGTAAATGTACAATTATTTTCTAAATAGCTGGTGAGTTTTGCTTGGGACAATATCTGACGCGACTCATTAAATATTTTGCGGTAATGAGTGCTAAGATTTTCATGCAAAATTAGGCAGTTCCTGTGCCTTTTCATCTTCGTCTGGTATTATAAGATTATCTAATTCTTCATTTGTCATTTCAGGATGGTCATTTTCGACTAATTCTTGCATTTCTTTCTATCTCAAAATCTGTAGTTGTCTGTTGCTTTGCATTTAATTTAACATTAGAACATTAAAGATTTTTTAACTAACAATACGTCCTCGCTTGCAATTAGAACCATCATTAAATCCCTATTTTATCTAATTTCCTGAACATTATCATGTATATAGATTGACATCGTCTTTGTTACTGATAATTATTACTTGCAAATTATTCTCTTGCTGGTGAACTTGATTCTTGTATAACTTGAGTGTATTCTGTGTACGTACATGTAAAGTAACTTAAATTATGTGTATTATGTGCAATTCGGATAACAGCGCTCTGTTATTTTCGCTGGTCTCGGGATATTTTCGCAGCACAAGCACATTTCAGCACGCATTGTTAAATATTTTGGTAACTAGTGTCATAGCATTTAGTGTATTAATTTATTTTTACCCCTTTACTTGATGTATGTATGTATTTAAGTATTTCATTTACTGTTGTTAGTTTCTCAGCATTTAACTTACTGTAGTAATAAGCTCTTACAATAGTTGTTTTGTTCCTATAATTGCTGCTTTCGGCTCTCACCAAAGCTCTCCATATCAGTAGTACCAG